GAGCCATTTTTCGAGGTCAACACCTACTATGCTACAATACAATATTCACTATAGAGAACATGTTTCATTGGCAAAGTGGATAGTCTAGTTCGACTAGCTCTTCTCTATCTCGTCTTTTTTATCAAACAAAAAAATTGACTTTTTAATGTTAAATGTATGATAAAATTGAAAAGTTGAAGTTGCCAAAAAGAGATGTTCGGGTTGGAGTTACAATTTTCTCAATAGATTAAGGACTAAAGGTGAAATTTTTCCTCAGATTTAAGAGTGCGATAAGGCAGGCTATGGAGGCAAACTCTGCTATCAGCGTTCAGCCCACAATCCTGCTTCTTCTCCTCCTCCTCCATTTCGCGCAACTACTATGACTCATCATCTCATCTCCTTTAATTCTCACTTTACATATACATATTCAAAAACCCATCTCAATTTCATCTCCAATTCTCTCAAAATTTCATCTTCTTCTTCCTTTTTCTACACTTGTGTCCGTAAAGCTCCTCGCCTCCACTTGTCCTTCCCTAAGAGTTCTCTTCTACGCCCCTGGGCTTTAACTACCAATGAAGCTGTTGAAAATTCTAATCCTAAAGAAATGATGCCCAAAATCGACAAAAGTGGGAGATTTTGCAGTCCCAGAGCCGCCCGAGAACTCGCTCTGTACGCTTTCTTTCTTACTCTTTTCTCTACATCTCTACATGCATTCTGCATTGTACTGAAATTTTCACGCACTCACATGTCACAATTTTAAGGACTTGTGTTTTTGTATTGAAAAGTTTTGGGAGTGATTATGTCGTAGGATGATTCTATATGCTGCGTGTTTAGAAGGGTCCGACCCAGTTCGCCTTTTTGAGAAAAGATTGAATTCCAGAAGAGGTAATGGCGTTGTACACCATTTGGGAAAAAGTACACTCGTGTGCAATGTATTCTTTCTTTATTTTTTTTGTTTCCAAGTAATTTGATTGAAAGTAAGCGTCCATAACTTTGTGTATTTACTTCAGAATCTGGATATGAATTTGATAAGACTTCATGAATGGAATACAATCACATGAGCTTTGGAGGACCACCTGTGACAACAGAGACAACTGAAGAAGCAAATGAGCTTCTCAGCAATCACGAAAAGGAAACTGAAATTGGTACATTTCCATTAGAATCTCCAAGTCACAAGAAATTTCGTGCATACCTCAAATATGACCTTTATATGTTTATTCTACATGCATATTGTCAATCTAATCGGGTAGTTCCATTCAGATGTGGTCATGCAGGTCAAATTTTCCTTTTATTTAAAGATGTAATACTGTTTATTTTTGTTTGGCCTCTTTGTTTCCTAAAAGAGCAACTTAGCAAGCTTTTATTTCCTTGTTATTCATACGGTCTATTGTTCGTTTATGATATTAATATTGATATCTTGAACGCTCTAATGGAAACTCTTCAAAGTTTTTGACAATCATAATACATTGCCATCTGACTATACATTAATATGCAACCAATCAAGATATTCACTTAGTATGTTATGACGTCTCTTTCCCTATTTGATAGACGCCTCAAAGTGCATAATGAGGTCTAGAGAAGATATAGAGTTGCTTCTATTTGTAAATTATATATTACGAAACTATTGATGATATAGTTCACATGTCTAAAACATAATATTTTGCTAGAAATGCTGATTACGGAGTGAGTTTTGCAGAAAGCTCGGTTATTTCTGGTGCAATAGTTTCCAGTTTAGGTGTATGCTTTGTAAATGAGTTACTGGACTGTTATCAAATTCTAGAGGCATGGTGTCTTCAAATATCACTTGCAACTCGGTTACGTAATTGAGTATTACTCCATTCAAAAGTGTTTGAAAAGCTTTCTCTCTTGCAATAGTTTTCTCTGTGACCTTGAAAGCTATAAACGCATCATATTATTATGTATTGCCCTTAACACTCCTAATCCAATCTGACTTGCTCGTGGAATTTAGTCTTTTAACTGGAAAAAACTACTTAATATAAGAAAAACCTTAGTTTCAAATTAAGCAAAATCAGATCCTCATCTATTGGCCACTGTGAACCGATTTTAGAAGCCAAGTGTATAAGATTGTGAAAAGCTTAATTGGCTGAGATAGAAATATAGCTACAATGAATGACAAAATCACGTGGGGTACATTACTTTTATATTTGTCATACCCTTTTTTTGTTTTTTTTCCTAATTTCCCATCTCTGAGGCATTATTGTCTTGTGGATTTGCTGTATTGAACTTCTTCGCCCGCATTTATAGGTGCAGTAATTCCTAGCTAGTCACATATGATTCCTCTTTACCTTCTTTTATTAATTCAACAGTTCCTAGCTAGTCAGTGATAATCCTTTTAATGTTTCACTTATGTGTGTGTAATCTTTGTATGTATGCATACGAGCATCCCTCATACTAAAACGGATATTTCGTCTTTATCTCTAGATTCCTTAATGTGCATAAATTAGTTGAACATTTTCTCTCTCAGAGGCAGAAGTTCTTTCCGCACCTCCAAAGTTGGTGTACAGCAAATTAATTTTGCAGTAAGCAACTCAACTATAAATACGTTACTTATTTTTATCAAGAAGCTGAAGTTGTCCCCAAAGACCATGCACAAGCCAAGAGCATTAATATTTCTTCTCTGCTGCAGCTTCACTCGAAAACTTCTGGTAGCAGTTGTAGAGAAATGGGATTCTAATGTGCTCGTTATCAATAAAGTTGCACCCCCAAATTGGAAGGTTTGATGTGCTCTATATGCTGTGAGATTTTCTGTTGAGTGCTTATCTACATTATTCCTCGTGTAGTCACTAGTAGTTCCCATCCAGATCATCCAATATTTTGCAGGACTTGTACAATTACTCTCGCTGCCAATTTCTTGTGCGCATAAGAATGCAAATGTTTGTAGAGGGACAAATAATGTACCCCCCTCCCGCTTCTCTGGGAACCTAAGTTGGTGCTAATCTGAAATTTCGCAAATTACAACCATTATTTAATTATGAATGATAATTCACAGTTTGTGTTTCCCTTGGTGAATTGCAATTCAGCTCCACTGTCTATCTAAAATTTATACCTAGTAACCACAGACCATTTACTGAACGCACTAACCTTATGAACTTAATAGGAAATGATCTCTAACATTTATTTGTTCCCTCTTTGAAACATGACTGCTATATTCATAGAAAACTGTAATTTGAGCATTTGTGTTTAGACAGTTCCTCTCACCTGCAATAAAACTGTTTTATATTAGAATCAATAATTTTATCATGTTTGTTTACTGAATAAACCATCTGTTATTCAATTATTTCATGATCTTGTGCTTTATACTACCAGCTGTGTAACTTCTCTGGTATGTTAATGGAAATTTATTTTGGTCCTGTATGTGGGTCCTACACAGAAGTTGTAGTATTGTAACAATAGACTTTCCAAATGTTTAATAATGTAAAACGCAGCTAAGAGAGAGAAAATAAACCTCTTCTAGATCAATATAAGTATATAACATCGATGATAAATATACAAAACTCTAATATAGAATAGGCACACTTGAAAGTGAGTCCTATGGTATCCAGGGGAGAAGACCGTATGATTTTGACATTTCTTTTTACACCTTTTAATATGTCAGGTGGATGTAACACCCCAAACTTTCATAAATCTTGAAATGTTACTAAAAATTTCTTTGTATTAAAGATGGAATGATAGAATAAAATTCTTTAATAAACATGGAAATTGTATCTTTAAACATAATCAACTAACTATTAAATAGACATGTCATTGCATGTAAATGAAAGCTAATTAATCAATTGAAAGATAGAAAACTTATTGCTTTTTGTTTTTCGAATCATCGGTAGTCTGTATCACCATTCCGTCACAGTTTCAATCAACCCGAACTAATCTGAATTTTTTAAAGAGTGAGTATTAAAAAATACTCCGTAAGATACATGCAATTTCCATACACAATTATATAACACCTTTTGATATTTCTTTTCACACCTTTTGATATGTCAGTAAGGTGGATGCAGCACTCCAAACTTTCATAAATCTTGAAATGTTACTAAAAATTTCTTTGTATTAAAGGTGGAACAATAAAATAAAATTCTTTAATAAACATGGAAATTGTAACTTTAAACATAATCAACTAACTATTAAATAGACATGTCATTGAACGTAAATGAAAACTAAGCCCCTGTTTGATACACATTAAAATTTTCATTCTCATTTTTCTACTCATTTTCAACGACACATTCTTCAATAAAATAATATTTTCCATCACATCAATAATTCTTTCTTTTTCAACCACAAATTCTCCATCAATCTACTTCCAGAATACATTCTTCCAAGATAATGTGGCTCAAACAAATCCTAATTAATCAATTAAAAGATAGAAAACTTAATGCCTTTTGTTTTTCGAATCATCGGCAGTACACATCACCATTCCGCCACAGTTTCAATCGACCCAGACTAATCTGAAATTTTTTGTAAGAGTAAATATTAAAAAATACTCAATAAGATACGTGCAGTTTTCAGACACAATTATAAGCATGTCTAGTGAAACTTTTTCACCCAATTAAAATCATTTTTGTGGCCGTTACATATCATTTCAGCAGCCTTTTTTGACTGCTTGTAAGAGAATGGGGGCCCACCTGTGGACTTTAACGGTAAAATTAATACTTAAAATCTGAAAATAATCCTTACCAGACATGTTCTATATAACAATAAAATAGACACTTCACGCCACTCTTCTCTCATGGAGTATATCGATGACCAAGCGACACACCCTTCTTAGGTCATCTTAAATTCCCGTAAGATTTGACATCTCTTAATAAAGAACCCGAATGTCCACTGACAATTCATACATAAATTACTGAATATAAAAGTATAAGAAAACGAATCACTTGCACAAAAGTATCTTACCTCGATAGATGAAACGAGCTTTTGATATAAAAATATATTTAGAATTTACAGCTGCTTTTTATATGAAAACTGCTGTGTAAAATTCTTTGTGGTGAATTGTAAAATATGGACTCACTATTTATAGGAAAAACAGTAGTTGAGTCCTAGTATAACTGTGATAAAATTTGTGTCTATCTAATGAGATAAGAATTTGTTATAANTAAGCGAACTTTCCGATTTCCAACACTATTCTCTCTCTGCTGCCGTATGTATATAAATGTATTTGTGTGTGTAAAAGCTCTACCATCATGTCCTATATATATAGGTAACTATGACCTAACTTATATAAAGCCTGTTTGGTAGGGATTTTTGGGGGAAGAATTGATTTTTAAATAGTGATATGATGGGAAATGTATGGTTGAAAAAGAAGAAAAAATTATTGATGTGATGAAAAATATTATTTTATTGAAGAATGTGTGGTTGAAAATGAGAATTGATTTACTGTAGAAAATCAAAATTCATACCAAACAGGCTCATAGAGTTGTTTGTAAAGTGGGGGAACCGTGTTTTGCAAGAATTTGGTTTAAAATTGGTTTCAAAAAGTTGACTTTGAATAGGAATGGTTTTCAATATATACTAGTCAACCAATACCAATCATATAATCGAATTTTTTTTCATAGGACACGTTTAGTCCCATTTACCTTGGAATACACGGTTGGAAATGAAGTAGAGTTTTAACTAAAATAAGATTAGAATTTATCTCTTTCAGCATATAGAACAAATAAATTTTATTCTATAAAACTTTCGGGGCATTACAATGGATGAAGGAGATACCAAATTGGTGAGTGCTAGTCACACCAATTTTACTGGTCTTGAGGCTTTGAGCATGTTGTTCCTGAATATGGTCCTCTGTTTTTCTTCTTGGTATCTATTTTATTGTGTGTGAATATTATTTAAAAATTTCCATATGCTGCCCCCTTCCTCCAATTATGGGCTGCAATTCTTTTGGAGTTGGTGTGGATATTTAATCATCTATCATAATCCACTTGAATGTGCTGTCTATGCGGTTCAATAACCTTTAGAAGTTTACTTGAGAATACTGGCTCACTCCAGAATAGTGATCTTCCATTTCAATGATAATATATCTCAAAGTTATTATGAAGATTATTGAAATATTGATAACCCATCATGATGGATTTTTTTTTTCTTTTTTCCCCGGTTCTTTTGCTTAGGATGAACCAGTTGGTAGGATTCTGGAGATTTCAATTCTTCACTTAGCTATGTCTGAAATAGCTGTGCTAGGGACGCGGCACCAGATAGTCATAAACGAGGTTTCTGCTTTCTTTGATCTTTTTGAAATTTTACTGATGCATTCAGACAACTCTTTTACACAAACTCAAGTCTTATGCTCACCACTGTGCGAACCAGCTAATCAGGTATCTTAGCCATCTCCCTCCAGCTGATTTGAGTCGAGATCTTTTTTACTTTTCTATTGGTCCTTGCTTCTCTTTTATTATAGGTTGATAACAACGTGTATGTTGAACATATTTGACTTTCTTGAAGGCTGTTGACCTTGCAAAGCGGTTCTGTGATGGGCAGCGCCACGTGTAATCAATGGTTGCCTGAGGACTTTCATGAAAGACGTCAAGGGGAATGTTAATGCTCAGGAATTGAAGATCAAACAGACTGTAATAAGTTGAGTTAATAAGTGAGAAGTATCAAGGTAAACTCTCTTTCGCTTGAGCAGCATTGGAATACTAATATCTGGAAGATCTCCAAGACATAATTGTTTTTCTTTCATGTTCAGCTCTATTGCATATCCATGAGTAGAGAACTCGGCCAAAGTCAAAATGCATTAGCAATCACTCAGCAGTTCTGATGGATTTCAAATATATATCTAGAGAAAGCTGGATTTTGTGTCTGATAAAATCTATGGTGATTCAAGAGGTTATAGATGTTAATTAATAAATGGAATGCTTCTTCTAGGACATAGTAGGCTATATTTATCATCCGAAAAACAGACAAGTACAACTACCTTAGTTTTGCAATATAAATATCTGAAAAAATGATGATATATGCACCTATGTATACATGTTTGTCCAACGAAAGAGTAATGCATCCATGATCAATTCCAAGCCCAAGGTTGGTGGTCGGGCTCCTCCAACATTGCTCGGCATTGATAATTTGTGCTTGCAAAAAAGGTGATGGGGACTCAAACTCCCTTATTACAATTAGTGAGATACATTCTAGTATGTAAATATAAGGATAAATGGGATACACTTCTGCTAGTGCTAATAGGATGTTTGAGTGTGGTGTTTCTTGGTAGAGAGTGATCAATGTTAACAAGTTTAGTTAATTACTTGATTCTGAGGAGTACATATAGTCAACCTCAATCTTGTAGGTAGATTTAATAGCCATGTGTTGCACATGATGTCTGACCTGAAGGGTAAAACTGTTTGAAAAAGAGCAACATCTAATATTTATTGAATAATCATCGTTTATTTTTCGGAATAATTGAAGTCTTTCATAGAAAATTTTACCTTTTTAGTTACACATCCTATGGACATTTTATGTCTAAATATACATTTTCGTTAGGTGGGGATACCGCTCGCATAATGTTTAAAAAGTTTGAGCAGATGATCGGTACTATAAATGAGAGGTTTGCAATGTGGCTACCATCCTAGTGAAATATTTGGAAGATTGTTGGCTTGTGTGTCCATGACTCCATGTAATATATTTTGTTGTGATAAGAAAATATTTTATAATTAATAATTTGCGATTTTATTTATTTATTAATGATCATGCAAATTAAGGTGTATATTATTACTTACAATAATATAAGTTGGGTATGTCCATCGAAAGTACAAGTGACACATAATTTATATTTTGAACATGATTAATTTGTTCACAGTCAATGTAAAAGAATTGATACCTCGTACTGAAAGGTTGTTGTATTGATTGACTCACTATTGGAGTTTGTCAATTGTCCTTATTATAAAAATAGTTAAAAGTGATACTAGTACACTTTAAGTGTATTGAACCATACACTATGACTATGTGGAGGATTAAATTACACTTGGTCGTCGAATATTTCATCTAAATATCTTGATAGGGTCGTGTATATGTTTTCATGACTTTAATAGTTATTTGATTTATCAGTATGTGGGATCAATTTGATTAGCAAGTAGAGAACATAAATTCATGTCAGAAATCATCCCGCAAAAGGATAGAGTGACTATTTAAATGCTTTTCTATTAAATGGTTAAAATCTAAACTTAATGTTTATCGATGACATGTAACGGAAAATATTACAGATTTATTGGCTTCTGTAATCTTATATGTTTGAGTAATGTTATTCATCATCACTAGTGTTAAGTGTTAATCTAAGTGACAATTATATGATAGTAAATAATAGATTTATTTAAATGTAAAGTCACATGACTCATTTAATTAAATCTATAAAATGTAGTGATCTAAACTGGTGTTTCAAATGCTAGATAGCATTATCCTATATGTTTGCAAAGTGCATACTTTTGCTTTTAGTAGAAAAAAATAATGACTAATAATTAGATTGAGTGTTCCAAGATTTATAAGACTTGATCTAATTTATTGAAGTTTAAATAAAATATGTCCGATCAAGTTCATGTGGTATCTCTATAAAGTATTGAGACTTAATTATAATTACTATAAATGTTTTAGACTTAAATGCAATTATTATAAAATTTAGACATAAATGTAACTGTTATGAAAGTTGTAAGTTTAGTTGTAATTGAACTTTAACCCCTATTTGGATTTCAATTGAGACCCTGTTTGAATTTTATTTAGAATTCTTATGCATAGATTAGAACCTTTTTATTTTTATTATTAAAAGTAGAGATCATATGGAACTTGAAGAGTCAACACGACAGAAAAATAAATTATTTTATAGTGTCTAAATTTAAAGGGGGGAGAGAGAGAGAGTTTATTTTCTCCTCTTCTTCATCTGTTCAATGCAGAATTATTTTTCTAATCTAATTTAATTAAAAGAAGGTGCTAACGCACTGATATAGTTTTAACTTTGAAGAATACCATAAAAAATTTGAAGGCCGGAAGCATCGAGTTCTTGAAATAAAAGTTGAAAGTTCGTGATTTAGATTTAAATTCAATAATTACTCATCGAAATTAGATAAAATTTTGAGTAATTTATTCTTGATATAATATATACGTAAACATTTAAACGGTCTTGTTTCTTGAATTAACTAATTTTATTAATTTTTATATAATTCATATTCTGCATTCCAATAAAAATTAAACTAATTATAATTAAAAAAAACCCTCTACTATATATTTTTTATTTCAAAAATACTAACTTTAAAAAGTAAAAAGAGAAAAACATAAAATAAACCCAATCCCACAATTCACGCTCGAGCATACGAAAGTCCACGAATCACCTCAAAATATTCCTTTCTTAGCCTACCGAAATCCCACATGTAATTTGCCTGGATTTATCTTCATTTTGATTTTATCTTGCAATTTTTCCATTTTCCGTTGTAATTCCTCGAAGCCTTGATACCTAATAAGGGAATTCACGCTCATTTCAACTCAACATTTTGCATGGTAGACAACTAGTTATGTTCACGGGCTCGTCGTAGCACATTATATAACTCATAGTACAATGTACCAACCAACATAACATAACGTTTCATGTTATTTTTAATAAATAAATCAGAACAAGTTTTAATTTACGTTATATACAGTAAGTAATAACTCATAACATATCAACACTCGAAATGTCTTACACAACATAAGTTGTATCAAATTGCATTACATGGTATATAAAATTAAAATGATATTAGATGTGAAGGGAAGTATTTTTATTCATAAATAAAATTTACAAATTATTGTAAAATTCTCGAAAATATATATGAAAGACGTGGAATATCTTTAATAGTGGTGTAAAATTAGGTGTAAATTGATATCTACAAAATCACTTTTGCATCTTCATTTACATCTCGGTGGATCTAAATTTATATTTTGGTCAAATGAAAAAATTTCCATTTTTTTGGCTCTTGGATGTAAAAAGGATAAAATTTCCATCTCTCTCTCCCTCTCTACATTTTTTTTTGCAGGGAAATGCAATTTTTTTATTTCCTCGACATCTATTCATTAAAGAGGTTTTTGAACATTTTGAAGATCTAAATTACAATTTAGATATTTTTTTACATCTCGATCGGAGATGGTCTTAGTAATAATATAAATACAAACTAGATAAATATTACCAATATACAAAAAACTTATATTGATCTTTTATATATATATAATTTTTTTAAAAGAAAAAGTTTAAAGAATTTATAATATTCCAATTCATAAATAATCAACCGAGTCTAATAATTAAAGAGTCATGCTACATGTACATCTTGCCTTACATTAATGGTCTGTTTCATTGCAATAGTGGAAAATAGATGGAAAGAACATGAATCACAGGGAAAGTAATTGTCTAAAAATTATTTTGCAGGGAAAGTAATTGACTAGAAAATGAATTAAGGGTCTGTTTGTCTTGCCTAGAAAGTAATTGCCTTACATTAGGGTGTTTGATTGGTATAATTTTTCATCCGAAAAATTTTTAAATTTTGTATTCATTTGGCTTTGTTTTACATGAAAATTGTCCATTAAAGTGATATTTTTTTCCACAATTATAAAATTTGTTTCCATTGCCAAAAAGTATAAAAAAAAAGGAAAAAAAATTGTTTCCTAAAAAAT